TTTTTCACTGTTCCTGTTTGTAGCCGAATTTGGTTGTGTGTATCATTTCGTGGCTTTTTGTCATCATTAATTTTAAATTTAAATTTCGATTAACATTGAGGTAAGTCTAAATTAAAAATAACTTTGAAATCGTATCAATTTTACAATATTAAAAATTGAAAAACGTTTGCAATATAAATATTTTTATATTTATACTATATATAGTTTAAGAAATATCGGTGTACCCTATAAAATTTTATTGACAATAACGAGGCGGACAGTAGTACAGTGGTAAGAAATATTTATGGCTCACACCAGTCCCCCCGAATTTGTTAAAGTGACTCGATCTTGAAATGTGTGGCAATTAGTAACTTTTATGAAATAGAAATATATCTGTGTCCTTGTTATGCTCCGTCTTTTCGACAGCAGGTATTTTTTGCTTTCAGTATGGCGATCCTGTTACTGTCATTTGGCCGTCAATTGCCTTGGTGGTAACACGTCTTCCACGACTGTTTGCTGGTTACCGGTGAGACTTTCTCGTTGAATAGGGCTGGAGTTACTTTGAGACTGGAATAGTGTTCTTTCCGGTCCGTTAACTCAATAATTCTAGTACAGTCTGTCGTAACCTCAAATCGTAAACACATCAAACTTTCGTTGACAGATAGCGAAAATTACTAGCCTCGCGCTATCTTTGTTTAACACATAGGTTAGGTTCCTCTCTGTCGAATTCCGACCACAGGCAGTTTGCCGTACTTTCTAAAAGTAATAGTAGATCTAGTGACTTTAGAATTTGTAGGAGAACATTTAGCAGGTAATTGTACGCATAGGATCGGACTTCCGCTGCTTTAGAAATTTAAGATCTGCGGATTACCGCCATGCGACAACTTTAAGTTGTAAATATCTCTTGCTATTGTAATACTGTCCGTCTCGTTATTGGCAAGAAAATTTTATAGGGTACAACGATATTTCCTAAACTATAGAAAAGTTGTTGCCCGCAGCTCCGTTTGCATGGAATTCGCAATTAGGACTCATCATTTTTCATACATGATAGTTTTCCGGGTTGGAACCGTGTAAATTGGGTTTTTGGGCTCAACGTTTCGCACACTTTCGTAAGTGGCGTCTTCAGGAGCAGGGTTAAAAATAAGGCAAAAGCACACGGTAACTCAGTATGTCAACCATACCAGAGGCGAAACTCTTTTGAGAAATTACACGGTTCCAACCCGGAAAACGATCATGTATTGATTCCGACCGTGAAAGCCTCCGAATTATCATTTTTCAACTCGTTCACTTCTCCCTCCCAAGTGAACCCGTCTGACTTAAAAACTCACGGCATTTCTGCACAAAGCTTCATCCCCTATTTTGTCCCCGTAGGAGCGGAATTTCCAGAAATCTTTTCTTAATGGGTGCTTATGACACAAAAGTAACCTACTGTCCAAATTTCATGTTTGTAGCTTCAGTAGTTGAGGCTTTGCGTTGATGAATCAGTCAGTCTGTCAGTTAAGACAAACATTTTTATATATTAAAATTGATTCATCATAATTTTATGCATGTTTGTTAATAAAAAGTATCTCTCTACAAAATTATGTGATTACAAAATTTTATTTGTTTTTTTTTACAAATTTTTTTTTAAAGGCGTTGAACAAGTAAGTTTGCATCGGGGCGCCTGGTCCCTTAGAGCCGGTCCTGCTATGATTAATAGGAGCAGAGCAGCAATGAAAAATATCGGAAAAACGGGAAAATTATTCGTCTTTTGACAGCTTCCGTTGCTTACGCTGCTTATTAAACGGCTAAAGTTACATAAAAATCATGTATGATGGAATTGTCCCCTTCTAAAAGTTCTAAAAAAAAGTCCGTGACAGCATACGTCAATCTTTTAAGGTCGACTCAGTATAACCTTTTTTATGGTAATGAATTTTTTTCTAAAATAATCTAATATAAAATTCTAGTGTCACAGTGTTTGTAACCAATCTCCTCCGAAACGCCTTGACCGATTTTTATGAAATTTTTTGTGTATATTCGGTAGGTCTAGTAAACTATTTTTTAAACCCCTAAGTGATAAGGGTGACCCACCAAACTTTTTTTATTTTTTAGACAACATTTTTTATTTTTATTTTTTTAAGATTTGGCATCAAAAAGTACATATAACCCTAAATTTTGATCCTTCTACCACCAACCCCCATTTTTTAATAACGATATGAGTATCTTTGCTTTCATCCACAGATGCGCAATAGTGTTGCAAGATGGCCATTGAATATAATCATTGCCGTACGATAAATTTTTATGTATTTATTTTAATTTAATTTTTTATTTAACTATGTACCAAAATACAACAACGTTTGCCGGGTCGGCTAGTTTCTAATATTGTATATATTTTAATTATGTCTTCAGGTAATTATTGTATTTTATTTTTTTAATTCAATGTTTCAGGTAGAATGATTTTAATAAAACGTTAGCGCTAATTGCAATCTACTCATTCTTTACTCATTATACTCGTATTTTTAAATATTTTTATTTCGCTGTTCATTAGGGGCCCCACAGTGTTGTAGAACACAGGCCCGCAGTTTGATTGTTACGCCACTGTTCAATATTTATTACATATAAAATGTTACTGGGGTAATATTAATACAGGTGTTCCATTTATATGTTTGGTGTTTCCAAGTTAGCATTAGACGCAATTTTACTCCTAGTCTGCTAATCCCGAAAGGTGCTGAAAAAGACTGCAAAAATCTAAAACCATATAGAATATTCTCTTTAAATGTATGAATACAGGGTGTAAAATTTTATAACTGACAGAAGAAAATACGGTTTCACATGGTACAAAAACTAAAAATTTTGACCTGACCTTAACACGCTTCTTAAAGGTTTATCATTTGAAAAAGTGAGTCTCATCTTAGTAAATGCTAACGATTTATCATCTTTCCTATAACCTTAAAACGTTTGTTATATTTCAGTACATTCTCTTTTGAAATTTTCAAGTTAAATTTCCCAAAAATCTCGATGTGAAAACTCAACAAATGGATTCTAAATTACACATGCATGGAATATGTAGTTCTATAAAATTTAAGAAACAAAATTCTATTCTACAAAATTATAAAATGACATTATTTTTCAGGAAGTTATAAACGAAAAAATTTTGATGCTTACGATAACCTAAAACGTTTCCAAAATTTCAGTGCAGGTTCATGAAAATATAATTAACAGAAATGAACTTTGATAAATTTCAGAAAACGTTGTAAATATGAAACGACATCTTTGAAAAAATGAAAAAAACAAACATTAAAAAAATGCTAAGGAACACTGTAGTATCATTTTATGAAATCGTGCAAATTTTTGGAGATATCAACACTTACCCTTGAGTAACAACACAAACACACTGAACCGGCAACTGGTTAGGCGATCGTGACCTTTAATGGATCTTTTGGTCTTTTATAAGCAAAGACCTCTCCAAGGACTTGTTTTTGCAAAGTTGTTTACCAGTTTAACCAGTCTGTTTGGCGTATCGTAAAAGTATTTGTGTTCCACCAAATAATCCTTAATTAACTTTAATACGAACATTTGTGTCCTTTTTGCTAAAATATTAACAAATTTAAACCACGAAACATAAAACTGGACACAAACGTTGATTAGCATGGTGTGGAGTCATAAAATGCAGGATTCACAAGGACAACCTCCAAAAAGTACGCGTCCGTTGATAAAGTTAAGTTAAATAAATAAATTTTATTGACAGAAATTCTTTGATTTTTCTTATTTGTGTCTACCCAAAATATCAGAACATTCATTAATAACTGTTTACTAAAGAAAAATCTATAAAGTGATTGTCGAAAGTTACTATGGAACGCAAAAATATTGTCGGTACCCAGCAAGGAGGGATATTAGACTGCTCCGCCTCATCACTGCGGGTTTCCGTAAAATTAAAAAAAAAAAAAACATCAAAAATTTTGTCTTTAGTCGAAAATAATTGTCATAATAGAAAACAAACAAAAAAACTTACAGTTTTTCGGGTTTGCCTGGCACTTCTACTTCACCGGTGGTTGGAAACAGACTCTCCGTTCGACCGCCAGGTTCAGTTTTATGAGTCGATTTTTATTTGTTGCCTTAGCAAATACGAAAATTATAATTATATTGATAATTCTGGTCGTCGTACAAAGGTCAACCCAAAGTTTTTTCGTGTTTAATTTGTTCACTCGTTTCCTTTTGTTTTTTCTCCAAAACTATTAACATGATTGTTGATTGACGCCAACCGGAATTTCTGTTCACCTCTACAAAAATGCAACGATGTTTTTGCGCACTGAATTTTTGAAACCGGTTCTCTAAAAAAGTAACGAGTGGATCAACTAATTTTATTGCGTCAACAATAGTCGACATAATTAATTTCTCAGAATGAAGACAAGTCGGCTTTGAAATATCGTGAAATTTGCCGCCTCGTTGTGATGATTGATGCCTAGTCGTCGCCTGTCATAAATGTCACTTATTACGTAGGCAACCAATTATTAAGTTGAGGTTATAGTTTTGTCACCTATCTCAATAGAACAGCAAACTGCAATGCAGTGACAGATTTTTCAAAGCCACCTTGATAAATCGGTGACACTGAATTACTGACGCCTTGCGGCCTTGACCATTGTTTTATTATCCTTTTTCTGCACAAAACAATTATTTAAATAATATTCTTCAAGAATGTGACACCTTTTTCGTGTTTTGTGAATACATATTGGAGTGCTACTATTTTAAGATTTCTTGTGAAAAGGAAATTTGTCAATAATATCATAGTCCAAATTTTTTTTCTTTTTTTAATAACTCATACAAAATCAAAACAAACAGACGTAAAATGCAAATTTGCACTTTCGTGTTTTGCGTGCTGTAAAACACTGGATTGTTAGTTTTTGTTACCATTTATTTTTCGTTTGACACTTCCAATTTCGGCTACAACCAAATGATCGTAATTCACCCAACGACAAACCCACATCACACCTATAAAACGATCTATTGAAAAAATTATCTTGTTTGAAAATAGTACTCCCATATAGAATTTGATAACAGCAACCAGCTAATTTTATTTCAATAAATACATAAAGCCCATCAAATACAAAAATGAGAAACACTTAAATTAATAATCTCAGATTCTAACTCTACAATAAACTAAAAATGAAGTAGCTAATAGGCACGACGAATATCGAGGCAGACATCTTCATTCCAAAGGCACAGGCAAAACCGTACCAGATTAAAGAGAAAATTCCGGCTTGGAAGGCCAAGTGGAGAAGAAGCAACCTAAAATAAAAAAATATATGTATATGTGACAGCGTAGCTGCTGAAACCCGCCACATCCACTTACACATTATCTTTGGCTTTGGCAGCCGGTAACGTCTTCAGCGGCTCCTTATTCAAATAAACCCGAGCCCCTAGTGCCAAATCCCTGAAATAATCTATCCACGTCAACTCCGCAATATCTAAATTAAACTTCTCTTGATCACTCTTCGACAACGAATTATGCAACTCCATCGTCTTAGTAGCGTCGTACTTCCACTCCGTAAAAATAAACTTCTCCAAACGATCCAACGAGTTGTTCACGTTGCGGTGCAACTTCATCAAACTACAACGTCATACGTTACTTAAGTCACATTTAACCCGACTTAACTTACATCGGACGTCCGCCGCCCAACTTCGTCACGAAATCCAGAAGTATAGCAGGCAGGATGTGAACGAAAAATGCAGATATTTTGTAGTACGTGATTGTGGGTACGAATTTCAGGTATGGGTACCAGACTGCTGATTTCAGGGGGTATTCGTGGAGGTAACCGTTGATTTGGTCTTCTATTAGCATCCAGGAGAAGGGTTTCCTGGTGCTGGAGGTGCAATGGTACACTTCTACGGCCTTGGCTTGCTTGGTGCCGGCACTGAAGCCTGCCGCTAGGAGGTTGTTGATGACCATGTCCACTGGGATGTAGTCGTAGATGAGGTTTCTGCCCACCGGGAGGCGGCGAATCACGCCTTTGGCCGCCCCCATGAGGAAGCCCTGGGGGCCGTTCTTGCTGATGGTCCAGCCGGGGACGGGTTCTTTCCATGCTCCGACAACTGAAACAATGTTGTTTTATGAGTTATTGATTTATTGTAATCGTAAAATGTTTACATAATAGTAAAATTATGCCAACTTGATGACTTTCTCGACTGAACACTAGTTATATAGCATCTTATGTTAGTAATACCCAATATGGTTCTGTCCACAAAACAACACTATAACAAATCTGTGTGAAATTACGCAATATCTGTTTAATAGTAATTTTAACGACTTCATCAAGTGGATGTTATGTGCGTACGCTTTCGAAGTGGTTGACCATAAAAGTTTACTACACAAATTACGCTATAAAAATATTTGTTTCCTAGTAACTTCTATAAAGTAAAAACCAGTGGTGAAATGACACTCTCACAACATTTTTGACTAGAATTTTTCAATTTTTTGTTTCTTTAGTTTTTCGATTTGCAATTTTTTATAACACTTCACGTTTTCATTTTTAAATGTTTCAATTTTTCGATTTTCCACCTTTTGGATGTTTAATTTTTTTAGATTTTGCAATTTTCCCAGTTGTAATTTCACGAGATTTCATTTTTTAATATTTGAATTTTTTAGACTTCTTGAATATTTCAATTTGCAATTTTTTGTTTCAATTTTTGACTTTCTTTATTTTTTCAATTTTTCGATTTTAAAATTTTTGAATTTTTCAATTTTTCGTTGCTTGAATTTTTCAATTTAAATTTTTTCAATTTTCTGTTTCTTCAGTTTTTCGATTCTTTAATTTTTGATTTACTTAAATTTTCGATTGCAATTTTTCAATTTTTGATTTTTTTTCCTTCATTTTTTTTTAATTTTTCAGTTTTTCGGTTTTCAATTTTTCAATTTGCGTTTTTCGTTTCGGATTTGTATTTTCTTTATTTTCTCAATTTTTCGTTTCTTCAATTTCTAAATTTTGCATTTTTTCGATTCTTTAATTTTTTATTTTCTAAAATTTTCGATTTAAAATTTTTCGTTTCGGATTTTTATTTTATTTATTTTTTTCAATTTTTCGCTTCTTCAATTTCTAAATTTTGCATTTTTTCGATTTTTTAATTTTTCATGTTCTCAAATTTTCGATTAGCAATTTTTAATTTCTCACTTTTTTTCCTTCAATATTACAACACTTCACGTTTTCATTTTAAAATTTTAAAATTTTCCGATTTTCTAACTTTTGGATGTTTTATTTGTTTCGAATTTGCAATTTTTCCATTTGTAATTTTACGAGTTTTCATTTTTTGATTTCTAAATTTTTAGATTTTTCAATTTTTCGTTTCTTGAATTTCCCAATTTGCAAATTTTTCGTTTTTCGGTTTTTCAATGTTCTAATTTTATAATTTTTCTTTTTTCAATATGAAATTTTTCGATTTTCAATTTTCGATTTCGCTTTTTCAATTTGGATGTTTCAATTTTTAAATTTTGCAATTTTTTGATTCGCAATTTCACGAGTTTTCGTTTTTTATTTTTAGATTTTTCAACTTTTCGTTTCTTGATTTTTTCAGTTTACAATTTTCCGTTTCGGATTTTGATTTTCTTTATTTTTCAATTTTTCGTTTCTTCAATTTCTAAATTCAGCAAATTTTCGTTTCGGTTTTTTATTTTCTTTAATTTATGTATAATTTTTCGATTTTTCAATATTCCGACTTTATAATTTTTCAGTTTCCCAATCTTCCCTTCAAATTTGCAACACTTCGCGTTTTCATTTTTAAATTTTTCAATTTTTCGATTTTCCACCTTTTGGATGTTTAATTTTTTTAGGTTTTGCAATTTTTCCATTTGTGATTTCACGAGTTTTCATTTTTTAATTTTTAGACTTTTCAATGCTTGTTCTTGTTTCAATTTTTACATTTTGCAATTTTTAGATTTTCCAATTTTTCGTTTCTTGAATTTTTCAATTTACAATTTTTTATTTGGGTTTCTGATTTTCTTTATTTCTTCAATTTTTCGTTTTTCGGTTTTTCAATGTTTTGATTTTATAATTTTTCTTTTTTCAATTTGAAATTTTTCGATTTTTAAATTTTTGAATTTTTAAATTTTTCAGTTTTTCGGTTTTCAATGTTCGATTTCGCTTTTTCGATTTGGTGTTTCAATTTGCAGTTTTTCGTTCCGGATTTTTATTTTCTTTATTTTTTCCATTTAAATTTTATCAATTTTTGTTTCTTCAATTTCTAAATTTTGCAATTTTTCGATTCTTTAATTTTTCATTTTCTCGAATTTCGATTTTTTCCTTCAATTTTACAACACCTCAGTTTTCATTTTTAAATTTTTCAATTTTTCGATTTTCTAACTTTTGGATGTTCCATTTGTAATTTTACGAGTTTTCATTTTTTTAAATTCTCAATTTTTTGCTTTTTGAATTTTTCGTGTCTTGAATTTTTGCAATTTTTTGGTTCGTTTTTTGATTTTCTTTATTTTTTCAATTTTGTGTTTTTCGGTTTTTCAGTGTTCTGATTTTATAATTTTTTTTCAAAATGAAATTTTTCAATTTTTCGATTTTCAAATTTTTCAATTTTTCGGTTTTCAATTTTCGATTTTGCTTTTTCAGTTTGGATGTTTCAATTTTTATATTTTGCAATATTTTGATTCATAATTTCACGACTTTTCATTTTTTAATTTTTCAATATTTAGATTTTCCAATTTTTCGTTTCTTGAATTTTTCAATTTGCAATTTTTCGGTTGGGATTTTTATTTTCTTTATTTTTTCAATTTTTCTAAATTTCTAAATTTTGCATTTTTTCGATTCTGTAATAAGTTTTCATTTACTCAAATTTTCGATTTGCAATTTTGACTTTCGGTTTTTTATTTTCTTTATTTTTATAATTTTTGAATTTTTCATTGTTTAGACTTTATTATTTTCTGTTTTCCAATTTCAATTTTTTCAATTTTTCGATTTCCAATTTTTCAATTTATCATTTTTTCCTTCAATTTTACAACACTTCTTGTTTTCATTTATATGTAATTATTCTGTTTTTCGATTTTCCAACTTTAGGATGTTTCATTTTTTAATTTCTTTTTTTTTCAATGTTTAATTTTTCGATTTTAAAATTTTCAATTTTCGATTTCACTTGTTGAATTTTCAATTTTTTGTTTCGGATTTTTATTTTCTTTGTTTTTTCAATTTAAATGTTTTCAAATTTTGTTTCTTCTATATCTAAATTTTGCAATATCCGATTCTTTAATTTTTTATTTTCTCAAATTTTCGATTTGCAATTTCTCGTTTCGGATTTTTATTTGCTTTATTTGTGTAATTTTTCAATTTTTCGTTTGTTGAATTTTTTCAGTTGCAATTTTTTGATTCGCAATTTCACGAATTTTTGCATTTTTAATTTTTCAATTTTCCGATTTTTCAGTTTTTCATTTCTTCAATTTTTTAATTTGCAATTTTTCGGTTCGGATTTTTATTTTATTTATTTTTTCAATATTTCTAAATTTCTAAATTTTGCAATTTTTCGATTCTGTAAGTTTTCAATTTCTCAAATTTTCGATTTGCAATTTTTAGCTTCGGTTTTTTATTTTCTTTATTTTTATAATTTTTATAATTTTTCAATTGTTCAGTGTTTAGGTCTTTATAATTTTCTGTTTTCCAATTTCAATTTTCTCAATTTTTCGAATTCCAATTTTTCAATTTCTCATTTTTCCCTTCAATTTTACAACACTTCGCGTTTTCATTTATATGTAATTATTCTGTTTTTCGATTTTCTACCTTTTGGATGTTTCATTTTTCAATTTTTCAGTTATCAATTTGCAATTTTTTGTTTCGGCTTTTGAGTTTCTTTATTTTTTTCAATTTTTAATTTTTCGATTTTAAAATTTTTCAATATTCGATTTCGCTTGTTGAATTTTCAATTTTTCGTTTCGGATTTTTATTTTCTTTGTTTTTTCAATTTAAATGTTTTCAAATTTCGTTTCTTCTATTTCCAAATTTTGCAATTATCCGATTCTTTAATTTTTTATTTTCTCAAATTTTCGATTTGCAATTTTTCGTTTCGGATTTTTATTTGCTTTATTTTTATAATTTTTCAATTTTTCGTTTGTTGAATTTTTTCATTTGCAATTTTTTGATTCGCAATTTCACGAATTTTTGCATTTTTAATTTTTCAATTTTCTGATTTTTCAGTTTTTCATTCCTTCAATTTTTTCATTTGCAATTTTTCGTTTCGGTTTTCATTTTAAGTGTGTAATAATAATTGCATTTTTCAAAATTTTTATTTTTTTCAATTGTTCTGTTTTAGGATTTTAGCGTTTTTTAGTTATTAGATTTTAAAACGTTTTTCTTTTATTCGCTTATTCACATTTCATTATTGTATTCATAAATTTTTTTAGATTTTTAGTTTATCAATGTTTCGATTTTGCAGTTTTCGAAAGTGGAAATATTGCAAGTCTGTAAAATTGAAAACTTCATATTGAAAAATCGAAAAATCATAAAATGAAAACTCTGAAAAATCTAAAAATTGTAAATTAAGATTTTGAAAAATTGAAAAACGAAATGTTGTAAATCGAAATACTGAAAATTAAAGCAATCGGATAACTGAGAAATTCAAAAATTGCTAAACTGAAAAATTTTAAAATTGGAAAACGGGGGAAATGAAAAATAAAAATCAAGAACTAGAAGAATTGGGAAAATCGAAAAATGAAAAAACAGAAAATGGATCGAAATTTTCGAAAAAAATAGCAAGCAAGTGGCTATAGAGCAAATAGACCTTCACGAGAGACGCCCTTCGCGCAGCTGTCGTCACGTGTCCTCACCCTGCGTCGTTTGTTTTTCACTCAACTTTTGTTGCTCGAATGTTCGTATTTAAATTTGTGCATCACGATGCAATTATTTTAATGTACTTGTTTTGCGTTTAAATCTCGTTGCAGCGGATGTTCGGTGTTGTTTCCTGACAAGTACGCGAACGTTGCATAAAGAATGATGTCATTGTCATGTAGATTCAGTTTTATTGTGTGGTTTTATGTTATGGCTTAATAGTGAATGCTGTATTCGCCTGTAATTAATTAACCCCAGGATAATATAATTCGTTGTGCAGCATTTGTGGTAGTTCTCTATTTTCGATAAAATCAAATATCTTTTTTTTGATTACAGGCTTAAATTAGTCTGGCCATTTTACAACCAAAACACCATCTCTCGACAATTATGTCGTAAGTATTACAAGCCCACATTTTGTAAATTTCCGACAATAAAATCTATTTTCATTTATTACAACCGGCTTATAAATATCCAATTAGACCGAAGGTGGTGTTAATAATTCGAAAGTAGGAAGGCAATCGGTAATCAACAACGATACAAAACAAGCTCAAAGGTGGAAAATGTTGTGACTCGATTAATTAAAAATTGCACCGTGTTGTAGTTTAATTTAATCGTATTTGCGTTCGCAAGCGTAATAAGACTTTACTTGGCCTTATTACAAACACCTTGTACAAATAACTTAATAGCTGGACGTTACATAATTTAAATAATATATGGAAGGCTTGCAATGAATGTTAAGCACAATTTGTCAGATAGTTAATAAATAATATATTTATTCTGACAATTTTTCGTACAAACTTGAACTCGTGCGGTAATAATATAAATTACAAAACCTACGCAAAATTTTGATTTAGTGCAAATTAACACCTTGATGCATTGAATTAAAATTTGAGGCACATAATTTGTTATGGGTTTTCCAATTAGTATGCACACTGAGAAGAAATAACAGTGTATTAAACAAATCGCAACGAATTATTACCGACAGAGCAATAAAAACATTATTAAAGACAGCCATAAATTTTTGAAAGTTTATCTTTGATTGTTGCATTTTCAATTCAAATTTTCAAACCAACAGCAACCTGACAGGCCGAAAATTCTATCAGAGACAAATCTTCAAAAATCCATGGTTTGATCGTATATTTTCTTTTGAACTCACGTCACTATTTTTTTTTTTCAAGCATGACTATACATAAAATTTTGTTAGTGTTATGCAATCATTACATCAATGTTAGTTTTTTACCAAAAACTCTTGAATGATTGAGTTTCTTAAATAAATATGTATATGTATGCATCCTATTATGCAAAGTATATTTTTCAAGGTAACCTTTATATGTTCGAAAAACTGGTATAATGTTAATCAGGTATAATTTCCTTCGTCTCTGAAGCACAATCTAATGCACAATTTTAGTTTCTTCGATAAATTAAAATATTTTCAAAGGAAAAATGTAGCCCCGCCCACCCGCCCTACCTCAATTGTGATGATTTTTTTATTCGTCGTGAGCCAAGAGGGTGGAGCTTAATTGCTAAAACCTTTTTTTTTTTACAGGAAATAAAAAACAGCAAGGTCAACGGATGATGTAAGCGATGCATAACTTCGTTGCGTATTTATCTTCCAACGGCAACGTTAACGGTGAACAGCAACCTTTAAGATAAGACTGATTTTGACAAAAGAACGCCTCAATTTTCTTCTAAGAAAATTGAGGCGTTCCATGTGAAAAATTTTCAGATGACGTCATCAATTTTTGGAAGAGAAGTGTTCTAGCAAACTATTATTATTATATTATTAATAATTAGACACGCAGTTCATTAAAACAAATTAGAATTACGAAGTTGATTCTTCAAATTTCTTGTTTAATATTTTTTGTGTAGGAATTTTTTTAACCATTTTCTTCCACCAACAGTTTCGTAGTTTCAGTAATTAATTAGTGTTTATATAGTAATATTGACAACAGACTGACGGAAACCGGAAGCATAGATATTCGTCAAAATCTATACGCAAAATAAAAAAAAAATAATTAAAGTATTGGTCTAATTTTTTGTGCTGACACTAATCTTCTCAGAAAACGTTAATTGCACGATTTTATGGCCTGAGAAGGTAAAAAATTCGGAAACGCGACACAGTACAGTTTGAGTGTGACTCTAAATCCTGGACTTTTTATATAGGTAGCTACATATAAAAAAAAATACAGTTAATTTCCGTTTCCACAATTATCTAATTGATACGAAAAGAGCTCTTTTAAAATAGATAGAAATTTAATTTCTCGAACCGAAGCTACTCCATTGGGCGAATGGCTACTTTCATGTTAGCTAGACAATCTCGGAAACTACCCGACTGATTGTTGTCAAATTTTATATGTATGTTAGGAATGTCAAGTAGATGGTAAAACGCTAACCAAAATTTGTCGAATCGTCCCTGCCAACAATGTGATGACGTCAGCTCAAAGTTTTGCATGATAAATGCCATTTAAGACCAATTTTTAATAAACGACTTACGTTTCTTCAGTTTTTCGATTTGAAATTTTTCAAGTTTTTAAGTTTAATTTTTTTAGTTTTTAAATTTTCCAACTTTAAAATTTTTCAGTTATTGAATTTTTCAATGTTTCGATTTTATAATTTCTTGTTTTTACAATTTTAATTTTTTCAATTTCTCGTTCCTTCAATTTTTCGATTTTTCATTTTTTTTTCAGTTTTTCGAATTTTTTTTGATTTTTCATTTCTTTAAATATACGATTTACACGTTTTCATTTCGGTATTTTATTTTTTTTATTTTTACAATTTTTGGATTTTATAATGTTTTGTTTTTCAAATTCAATTTTTTCAGTTTTTTTTTCTCCCATTTTTTGATTCGCAATTTTTCAATTTTTCATTTTCTTTGTTTCTTCAGGTCTACGATTTGCAACTCTTCGAGTTTTCATTCTAAAGTTTCTTAATTTTTCGATTTCCCAACTTTTGGATGTTTCAATAATTTTTCGGTTTTTCAATTTTTCATTCCTTCAGTTTTTCGACTTACAAGTTTTCGTTTCGATTTTTGATTTTCTTAATCATTTTTCTTTTTTTCAACCTGAAATTTCAATTTTTCGATTTGCATTCTTCAATTTTTCAATTCTTCAAATTTTCGATTTGCAAGTTTTCGTTTCGGTATTTTATTTTCTTTATGTTTCCTTTTTTCAATTTTTCATTTGCTGTTTCTTTAGGTTTACGATTTGCAACTCTTCGAGTATTCATTTTAAATCTTTCAGTTTTTCGATTTTCCAACCTTTGGATGTTTCAATAACTTTTAGATTTTGCATTTTTCGATTTGCAATTTCAGGAGTTTTCAATTTTTAAATTTTAATTTTTCGATTTTTCAATTTTTCATTTCTTCAATTTTTCGACTTGCAAGTTTTCGTTTCGATTTTTGATTTTCTTAATTTTTTCAATGTTTCGGTTTTCCATTGTTCTGATTTTATCATTTTTCTTTTTTTCAACCTGAAACTTCAATTTTTCGATTTGCATTCTTCAATTTTTCATTTTTTGTTTCTTCAATTTTCAGATTTTGCAAATTTTCGATTTAAAGTTTCTCAAGTTTCAATTTTTAATTTTTCGAATTTTTGGATTCTTTAATTTTTCATTTCTTCAAATTTTCGATTTGCAAGTTTTCGTTTCGGTATTTTATTTTCTTTATTTTTACAATTTTTGGATTTTGTTTCATTTTTTCAATTTTTCATTTACTTTGCTTCTTTAGGTTTACCATGTGCAACTCTTTGAGTTTTCATTTTTAAATTTTTAAGTTTTTCGATTTCCCAACTTTTGGATGTTTCAATAATTTTTAAATTTTCCATTTTTCGATTTACAATTTCAGGAGTTTACAATTTTTAATTTCAATTTTTCAATTTTTCATTTCTTCAGTTTTTCGATTTGCAAGTTTTCATTTCGATTTTTGATTTTCTTTCTTTTTTCAAATTTTTCGGTTTTTCAATGTTCTGATTTTATCCTTTTCCTTCTTTCAACCTGCAACTTTTTAATTTTTCGATTTGATTTCTTCAATTGTTCGTATTTTTTGTTTGTTCAATTTTCAGATTTTGTAAATTTTCGATTTAAGTTTCTCAAGTTTCAATTTTTAATTTTTCAATTTTTCGTTTCGGTTTTCATTTTCTTTATTTTTACAATTTCTGAATTTCCGATTTTATAATTTTTTCTTTTTTCAATTTGTCCATTATTTGCAGTTTTCAATTTCTTATTTTTTGTTTCTTCAAATTTACGATATACAATTCTTCGAGTTTTCATTTTGAATTTTTTCATTTTTTGGATTTTCCAACTTTTGGATGTTTCAGTTTTTAGATTTTGCAATTTTTCAATTTGCAATTTCACTAGTTTTCAATTTTTTGATTTTTCAATTTTCATTTCTTTAATTTCTCGTTTTTTGATTTTTCTATGTTCTTTCTGATTTTATAATTTTTCTTTTTTCGATGTAAAATTTTTCAGTTTTTAGATTTTTCAATTTTTTGATTTGCATTTTTTTAATTATATTTATTTTTATAATTTTTCGGGTTTTCAATGTTCCGACTTTATAATTTTTGTTTTTCAATTTCAATTTTTTCAAATTTTCTATTTCAAAGTTTTGAATTTTTCATTTTTTCCATGCAGCTTTTGGCGTTTTCATTTTAAAATTTTTCAATTTTTCGATCTTTCAATTTTTTAGACTTTTATCTTACATTTTTTTTCAATGTGAAAATTTTCAGTTTTTAAATTTTTCGATTTGCAATTTTTTGGTTTTCAATTTTCGGTTTTTCAGCTCTTAGATTTTTAAATTTTTTGTTTTTTGAATTCTAAATTTGTTAGTTCCTCGATTTTTCAGTTTTTCGTTTCTTCAATTTTTTAGGTTTCTATTTAAATATGTATGTAGCAATTTTAAAAATAAAAATAACAATTTTTAAAATCTTCAAACTTTTTCATTCATTCAATTTTTCAGTTTCCCCATGATTAATTTTTCAATTTTTCAATCTTTCAATGTTAGTGTTTCGATTCGATTCGTTTTTTCTTCTTTGCATTATTTGCAATTTTTTCGATTTTTAAGGTTCTGGTTTTTCAATGTTTCAATTTTTCGTTATTTGGATTCTTCGATTTTCAATTTTCCACTTTTTCGGTTTTCAACATTTCCAATAAAAAAATGCGAAAATTTCAAAACTGCAAAATCAAAAAACGATAAATTGAAGAAACAAAAAATTTAAAAATGGAAAGATTAAAAATTGAGAAACTTAAAAATCGAAAAAGTGCAAAAGCGAAAAGACGAAATATCGAAAATTAGAGAAATCGGAAAATCTGATAACTGGAAATCCAAAAATTGCAAAATTAAAAAATTGGAAAATCGTGTAATTGAAAAGTCGAAGATTGAAATTTTGAAAAATTAAATAAACGAAAAATTAAAAAACGGAAAGAAACATCAAGACAACAAAAAATTGAAAAGTCGAATAATTATGATAAAAAATTGGTCGAAGGTAAATAAATCCAGATTCGACTTCTCGATTTTTAATTTTTCGATTATACAATTTTCAGTTTTAATCTTCGCCAGTTTTCAGTTCTTCGTATCTGTAATTTTTCGATTCCCAATTACTTTTCAAATTTTACAATTTCTGTAGTTTTTGAAATTTATTCAATTTTCAGTCTTTCATTTCTCCTATTTTAAATTTTTCATTATTTCGTTTTTTCAAACTGCAGCTTTTTTCCATTTCTTTTTTCAACTTTTCGATTTCCATTGTTTACATTTTAATATTTAGAAATTTGGAAGTTTGAATTTGGAAATTTCGAAATTGAAAAACCGCCTCGATAGCCAATAATTGTCGGTTATAGAGTAAAAATGTTCTAAATAAATGGGCAGTCACTTTTACAATTTTTAAAATTTTGCAATTGATTGACATTTGAATATTTTAATTTTTAATTTTTCAATTTTTCAATTCTCCGCTTTATCAATATTTCGCTTTTAAATTTTTGGAAATTTCAAATCTTCGTTTCTTCAATTTTTCGACTTTTTCGATTCAACTGTTCCATTTTTGGACTTTTCAATTTTTAGCTTTTTCCATTTTTTGACTTTTAAGTTTCTTAATTTTTAGTTTTTCAATGCTTCAATTTTTCGTTTCTTCAGTTTTTCGGATGTTCAATTTTTCGATTTTTCAGCATTTCTATAAAAAAAAATTGATCGAAAGTTGTTTCGACCGAACTTAATTGAAATTGCGATTTTCATTTTTTATAATAACCATTATTAGTTAATAAAATAAAGATATGTATGTAATGGTAAAGTAAAAATCACATGGTATAAACAGATAATGTGTTATTTATGTACTTATTACTTCAATTTACTTTGTTATATAATCACTATCAAATTATTGTGCAACGTCAAAGCGTTTCTATGACGAGGTATTGAATTATTTTCCTGTTACATTTTATTTCAAATCTCTTACTAAGGTCACCGATATTTACATTTTCAACATAAATCAATATGCGATGATTGATGAAGATGCAAATACAATAAATAATACTTGAAGATTTTTTTTAGTAAACATTAACTTCTATTGAAATATGTCGTAACACAGGGAATTCTTGGATATTAGTATATACCTAGTAGAAAACGTTTAAATTGAGTGTCAAGTGTCAAGTCATTAAAACTTAACTACCGGCAATTCTGTCGCATGTACATATTTATATCCACTATTAAGTGCAGTGTGGGTGGATCTTCAACAAAACAATATCTACAGATACAACTAAAAAACTTACTCATGCTTGGCCTGACGATGGTACACGGAAACAGCCCCTCCACAGCCTTCACTTCATGCTCAGCCAAATGCTTAGTAATCGTGTAAGTATTCGGATGCTTCCCCAACAACTCCGGCGTCTTCTCCTCCAACTCCTTATCATCCAACTTCTTCACCACCGCGATCAACTCCTCCGCATCACACGGCTTCTCATAAATAATCTCCTCGCACTCCAGCCTATACGAATTCACGTAGGCGCTGCTCACATGCACCAGGACCTTCAGTTTGGGACACTCCTTCGCGAGCTCCGTGACCCTCCTCGTCCCCAAAACGTTGGTATTGACAGTGGTGCGGAGATTCTCCCCGAAGTCCAAAGTCGCAGCCGAGTGGATAATCACGTTGACGTTATCCGTAATGACCTTTCTGTCCTCGATGGACAAACCCAAGTTGTCCTCGCCGACGTCTCCGGCGATCGCTCGCACCTTCGCGAACGCTTCTTCCACGCTTCTGTCCTTGAGGAGGATTTCGAAGACTTGGGTGCTTTTTATTTCTTCGAGACGTTCGGCGATGGCTTTGCCTTTCTTGGGTCGGAGGAGGAGGTAGATGGTGCCATGGTTGGGGATGGTACGGAGGATTTTTTCTAAGAGGCAGATACCTACGAAACCGCTGCCTCCGGTTATGAAGATGTTCTTGTCTGCGTAGAACGAGGCGATGTCGTTGGACGCCATTCTGAAAAAGAATATCACCATTATTAATAATATGAAGTATATTTCTAGGAAATAGCCAACGGGGAAATATAGATATTCTTAATTTCTCAGCACATGCTTAACTTCGACTGTTTATGTTTATATTTAGAAAGAATTCAACTATTAACACCTTCAGATTACAAACGTCGGTGGTTAAAAGAAAATTAAATTTAATCGATTTTATTTCCTCAATGCAAAAGAGAGGACTGATTAATTATTCTACACTACGTTTTTTCCCAAAAACATTTTAATGGACGATTTACGATGACTCCAATTACCATAAAATATTTCTAAGATTTTACAGTTTTCGGTTTTTTGCAATTTTAAAATTATCTGTGTGAAGCACAAAATTTAGAAACTGTTTCCCAAAAATGTGAATTTCAAGGTAAAAACTCAATACGGATTCATAAACCACATGTACCGGAATTTCTTATTTTGTAATTTAAACAATATTGTAAATATTGGTTATCACGTCATTCTATTGTTGGTGGGGATGATTATCAAAATTTTGGTTAGCGTTTTACCATCTACACGATATTGATAACACACATACAAAATTTAAGAACAATCGGTCCAGTAGTTTCGCACATTATCCGTCTAATAAAAATCCGGACAGATGACAGACAGACAGACAGATAGACGGAAACTGGAGACCTATAGTAAAAATATGAATACAATGATAAACCACAAGAGTACACTCAACGTTTATTTATCCAGCAAAATGTTGAGATGACGTCATCAAATTTTGGAGGGGGTAAATAAATACATTTTGGTTAGCGATTTACCATGCTTATTGTAATTTTAAAACGTTTACAAGATTTCAGAACATTCGGTTTTAACGCTTCTAAGACAAATTATAAAAAGTAAGGAATAAAGGAAATTTAATAGAAAAAGTAAAGGCGGATTCATAAAGCACAGGTATATATAGATATATAGAAGTGTGATATTTATAAAATTCGAGAGATTTTGGTTAGCTCTTTATCATCAGAATGCCGATATTTTTAAACTACATACATCTAAAATTTCACCAAAGATTAGTCGTCTGTTCGGAGATTATCTATCTAATGAAATCGCCAACAGACAGACAGACAGACAGACACCATAGATTAATATAAATGCGACATACAGGTTGATTTTGCAAAACCACCCTTATTGACATTGGAGTCCTCAACCACCATTTTTTTTAATGTTTTTAGTGACAGTTTTTTTGGTTGTTTTCGATATACTGTATGATATTAACAGTGAGAAAAAAAAGAACAATTAAAATAATCGAAAATTCGAAAAATCGAGAAATCTAATAATCGAAAAATCGAAACCTTCAAAAATCGTAAAACCGAAACATTGAAAAATCGAAATATGGAAGAACCGAAAATCTAAAAAATGTAAAATTTAAAAATCTAAAATTTAAAAACCGAATAACGAAAAATCGAGGAATTTAAACTCTCAAATTTAAAAAATCGGATAACTGAAAAATCGAAACATTGAAAAGCTGTCAAATCGAAAAACTAAGAAATCGAAAAATCAAAAGATCAAGAAATCGTGGAGTCGAAAAGTCGAACAATTAAGAAACCGAAATAGGCTAAAATCGAAAAATCCAAATCTTGATAAATCGAGAAATCAAAAAACTTAGAAATTTGAAAAATTGAAAAATTGAGAGATTGAAAGATCCAAAGAACGAGAAATCGAAAAGTGATGAAGTCGAAAAATCGAAAAATAGAGAAATCGACAAAAAAAAGTTAAAAGTTGAAAAATTGGAAAAGCGGAAAAATCAAAAAATGAAAAAATGGAAAACTGGAAAAACTGAGAAACCGAAATAGGCCAAAATAAAAAATTGAAAAAATGATAAATCGAAAACCTGACCAATCAAATCTCAATAAATCGGGAATGAACAATTAACAAATCGAAAAATTGGAAAACAGAACATCTAGAGCCAGGAAGTCGAAAAATAGATAGGTTAAGAAATATTGAAAAATTAAAATATCGAAAGATCGAAAAATCTGAAATTTAAAAATCAAAAAATTGAAAAATCGAAAAAGTGAAAAGGTAGACACATCGAAAAACCCAGAAGTCAAAAATAGAAAAGCCGAAGAATTGAAAACTCCTAAAACTGAAATATCTAAAAACTGAAAAATGAAAGATCAAAAAAGTGAAGTCGAAAAATAGAAAGCTTAAAAATCGAAAAATTGAAAAATCAAAAAATTAAAGAATTGAACAGGAAAATCGAAACACTCGAAGGTCAAGAAATGGGAAAATCAAAACATGGATTAACTGAAAAGCCGAATAATTGAGAGTTTATAAAAGTCAAATTTGAAAAATTAAAAAATCGAAAATTTGACAAAATGACAATTGAAAAACAGAAAATCTAAAACCGGGAAGTCGAAAAATCAAAAGATTAAGAAATCGAAACATTTGAAAAATTCGAAAACTTGAAAAATTGAAATTTCGAAGAACTGAAATGAAAAATCAAGGAATCGAGAAATCTAAGATTTTAAAAATTAAAAAATCGAAAAATTGAAAAATCGAAAAAGTAAAAAAATCGACACATCGAAAAATCCAGGAGCCAAAAATCGGAAAGTCGAAGATTCGAAATATTGAAAAATCCCAAAACTGAAATAGCGAAAAACTGAAAAATGAAAGAAAAACTAAAAATTGGGAAATCAAAACATTGAAAAATCGAAAAATTTAAAACGACAATTGAAAACAGCAAATCTAAAACCGGGAAGTCGAAAAATCAAAAGATTAAGCAATTGAAAAATTGAAAAATCGAAAAAGTAAAAAAATCGACACATCGAAAACTCCAGAAGCCAAAAATCGAAAAGTCGAAGAATCAAAATATTGAAAAATCCCAAAACTGAAATATCTAAAAACTGAAAAATCGAAAGATCAAAAAAGTGAAGTCCAAAAATAGAAACCTTAAAAAATCGAAAAATTGAAAAATCAAAAACCTGAAAAATAAAAAAATTAAAGAATTGAAGAACAGGAAAATCGAAACACTCGAAGGTCAAGAAATGGGAAAATCAAAACATCGATTAATTGAAAAATCGAATAATTGAGAGTTAAAGTCAAATTTGAAAAATTAAAAAATCGAAAATTTGACAAAATGACAATTGAAAAACAGAAAATCTAAAACCGGGAAGTCGAAAAATCAAAAGATTAAGAAATCGAAACATTTGAAAAAGTCGAAAACTTGAAAAATTGAAATATCGAAGAACTGAAATGAAAAATCGAGAAATCGAAAAATCTAAAATTTTAAAAATTAAAAAATCTAAAATTAAAAAATCGAAAAATTGAAAAATCGAAAAAGTAAAAAAATCGACACATCGAAAAATCCAGGAGTCAAAAATCGGAAAGTCGAAGAATCGAAATATTGAAAAATCCCAAAACTGAAATACCGAAAAATTGAAAAATGAAAGAAAAACTAAAAACCGCGAAATCAAGACATTGAAAAATTGAAAAATTTAAAACGACAATTGAAAACAGCAAATCTAAAACTGGGAAGTCGAAAAATCGAAAGATTAAGCAATCGAAAAATAGAAAAATCGAAAAAGTAAAAAAATCGACACATCCAAAACTCCAGAAGGCAAAAATCGAAAAGTCGAAGAATCAAAATATTGAAAAATCCCAAAACTGAAATATCGAAAAACTAAAAAATGAAAGAAAAACTGAAAAATGGAAAACCTGAAAAATCCGAAAACTGAAATATCCAAAAACTGAGAACCTAAAAAGTCGAAAAATTGAGCAATAGAAAAATCCAAAAAGTGAAGTCGAAAAATTGAAAAAATAAAAAAAACAAAAACCTGAAAAATCGAAAAATTGACAGTTATAAATGTCAAATATGAAAAATTGAAAATTTGAAAAAACGACAATTGAAAAACAGAAAATCTAAAACAGGGAAGTCGAAAAATCGATTAATTAAGAAATCAAAACATTTGAAAAATTCGAAAAAGTAAAAAGGTAGACACATCGGAAAACCCAGAAGGCAAAAATAGAAAAGCCGAAGAATTGAAATATTGAAAAATCCTAAAACTGAAATATCTAAAAACTGAAAAATCGAAAAATTAAATAAGTGAAGTTGAAAAATAGAAACTTTAAAAAATCGAAAAATTGAAAAATCAAAAACCTGAAAAATCAAAAAATTAAAGAATTGAAGAACAGGAAAATCTAACTTGAAAAACTGAAATATCGAAGAACTGAAATGAAAAATCGAGAAATGGAAAAATCTAAAATTTTAAATATTGAAAAATTAGAACATCAAAAAACTGAAAAATCTAAAATTTAAACATCGAAAAATTGAAAAAACGACAATTGAAAAACAGAAAATCTAAAACCGGGAAGTGGAAAAATCGAAAGATTAAGAAATCGAAACATTTGAAAAATTGAAATATGGAAGGGCTGAAATGAAAAATCGAGAAATCGGAAAATCTAAAATTTTAAAAATTAAAAAATCGAAAAATTGAAAAATCGAAAAAGTAAAAAAATCGACACATCGAAAAATCCAGGAGTCAAAAATAGGAAAGTCGAAGAATCGAAATATTGAAAAATCCCAAAATTGAAATACCGAAAAACTGAAAAATGAAAGAAAAACTAAAAATCGGGAAATCAAAATATTGAAAAATCGAAAAATTTAAAACGACAATTGAAAACAGCAAATCTAAAACTAGGAAGTCGAAAAATCGAAAGATTAAGCAATCGAAAAATTGAAACATCGAAAAAGTAAAAAAAATCGACACATCGAAAACTCCAGAAGCCAAAAATCGAAAAGTCGAAGAATCAAAATATTGAAAAATCCCAAAACTGAAATATCGAAAAACTGAAAAATGAAAGAAAAACTGAAAAATGAAAAACCTGAAAAATCCGAAAACTGAAATATCCAAAAACTGAGAACCTAAAACGTCAAAAAATTGAGCAATAGAAAAATCCAAAAAGTGAAGTCGAAAAATTGAAAAAATAAAAAAATGAAAAACCTGAAAAATCGAAAAATTG